GATACTTGTGAACCTCAATGACTCAAGAACGACTGAGTAACTTGCCAATATTAAGTATTGAAAAAAACGTACTTAATACCTTAAATTTTGATAGTTTAATTGACGCATTTGCAACAGCAAAAGCACAAAAGGTTCATATAATGTCATCATGAATACCAGAATGCTACCTGTACAAGATCTAGTTAAGTATATGTACAGTTTTGTATACTAATAAAATTTGTTATTTGTAAACTTAAGTAGTATTTTATCAATCTGTTTTATAATTCATGTACACCACAAGTGACTGGCTTCTCATATAAAACATAAGTTTCAAAACTAGGGATACAACAGAAATTTATTCCGAATGCTTGAAAGATTACTCTAGTTGTGTGACTTTGAACAATACTGGATGACATAAATATCAAAATGGTTTACAAATTATGTAAGTACACCTAGTAGGCTATACTTCATTAGTTTCAGGTTTACAGTTGTGATATTGTGAGATGTTATATTGTGACTTTATTTTAGGCCTGTGTAAGGCAGTAATTAATTCTTTATGTTATTGTCATTAACTGGGTACTGAGTCACAAGACAAATAATCAAAACATTTCAGAGGTGGGGGCGCCAAAAGTGTCTTGCCCCCTGGTGCTGAGAACCCTTGCTACGCCACTGTTCAGAGTTGTAGTACATATTGCTTCATGCTTTTCAAGGTCATGCAAAATAGCTGACACTTCAAAAACAGGTTAAATTAACAGATAACGCAGCCATGCACTACAAGTCTATCCCTAGAGATATATTTTTGGATTTCAAAAAAGTGAAGTCAGAGTTTCAGGTATTGCGATGAATTAGTTCATTATGTTGTGGCCTTTCCTCTTAAACCTTCTACAAATAAGAAACAGTAACACTTTATTTTTTCTTTGACTTGTCTACCATAACCAAGGCACATTATTGAGAAATTCTTCAAGATCTTGTTACGCCATTTAATGAAGATGGGAACATTGAAAGGGAAATAGATTTGAACGAAGAAGTTTCATAAAGAGCACAAATGGTAGTGTGATGTAAAATTACTCATACTAGAAATTTTCATAAAAATGACCCAAAAAATGGCGCTAACTCATTAACCCGTGGCCCGATGAAGTTTCATAAAGAGTGCGAACGGTAGTGTGAATGATTTTTTGACTGAGAAAGTAAGCAAACAAACAATCTCAGAGTTTTAGTATATAGATAGATAGATTCTTCAAGATCTTGTTTTTGTCATCTTATGCCTTTTAATGAAGATGGAAACATTGCCAGGGAAATAATATAATAGCCAATGCTTGGTGAGAGGTTTTAGTTGATAAAATTTTGTTGTTGTTCTCTACTTGATTTTAATTTAATACCTCATCTCCATAGTTACTATTTGCAAATAGTCAATAATATTGTAGGTCCATTTTATTGTTGTTCTTTCTACGTGCCGTTATAACACATTTTTACCTCATCTTTAATTTCTGTTGTGCATATATTGTTGTATAGAAGATATTTTAAAGTGATTCATCAGGTTGAAAACAAATAGATACATAGATAAACTGATATGTGACGTCATCTACTGTACCTAATTTCATCTAGAAATTTTCATAAAAATGACCTGAAAAATGGGACTAAAACTTGGTAAACCGCGGCCCGATTTTAACGAAACTTGTTTTATTCTGTTTCTATTCTCATTTCATTACAAATATGGCACTATTGTGTGCCATTTTTGCTGTATTTAATTACAGACAAGCACACAAACAATCTCAGAGTTTTAGTAGTATATATAGATAATCAAACTACTACAGAAAAAATCAGATTGGCCTCTGTCAGTTTGTTATTAAGCACAAAGCTGCACAATAGGTTACCTGCACTGTGCCCACTACAGGTACTGAACTCAAATTTTAGCATTATGAAACCTCTCAGAAAAAAACTAAAGTATGACAAGTTTGCTGGATTACTTCTATAGAACAGGAAAGAATATAACATACTAGATCAACTAGATGCTTGGGTGACATCTTGTTCACAGTGCATGGTGTACAAAAGTGTTGAAAAAATCTTAAACAAAGTTGAAATTGAATTTTCAAACTAAATTCCATTTCACAGTAACAGCAGACTGAAAATCTACCCAAAATGTTGATCTTAGGACAGTAAAAGTTTTTGTTGTTTTTTCCAGTGTGAAAAGATAGGGGGTAAACATAATTATCTTTATAAACTTTTGGCATTTCACCAACATCTTCCACCAGTCATTCTTTACTGTATGTGATAACTGTACTATCTTTCTTGCAGTTGCAAAATATACTAATTAATTGCTAAAATACATTATTGATTGGAAAACTGTCAGAATATGTCTCTTTAGTTCAAAAACCTTACGACACCCATCAAGATATCTGAATGCCTTTGCATAATTAATTTCAGACACGGGAAGCGAACAAAACATTATAAGTCACTTGTTAGTCAAATTTTATCACAATGGAATTCCACAGGTATAATTTCCTGTACTGAATTTTCCAATCAACCAATATCTTTTTTATCCTATGCATTTCAATCCAATTTGTAAAAAACAAAAACACCCACTGAAAGTTATCAGAAAATGGGATTACAGTCAGTGGTATCTTGTGAATAAATATTTATATCCTAGTTTAACATACATTGAAACATAATAATAATAAAAGTAATGTAAAAGAGATAAACTTTGCTTGTTTAAAACAGAAAATAAAAAGAATATTTATACACGCATATTTCCAGTAACTAGGATGTTTATAGACAGCAGAGGAATTCTGATCACAAATGAAGAGCCTTAAATTTATAATTCTAATGCAGAAGTAGTTTTTCCTATAAAGTAAATATGAATGTATACTCAAAAATACAACATATATTAACTCGTCTATAGTTCTTCTATGCTTCAAAAAAAAATTAATTCATACATTCTTGTGGATCCAGAAGTATGGGTAGATATTTGAAATCTACTTTTACTTGAAAAAGAAGATGAAACCTTTAAAACAGTACAACCATGTGTTAGCAAGAGATTGTATTACTGTAAGGTTATATACACTACAGAAAATCATAAGCTTAAATTGCTGAAAAAACAACAACGTTCTTTACCTTCACCAATGGGGTCTGGAATTCCAATGCTTCTTCCTGGCATTTTTGTTCCTGACCAGCCTCGCTCTAATGGTGAGAGCCTCAAAGGCTTGAAAGCTCCCATCTCATCACGCATCTTTAACAATTTCTCCTCTCGATCTTTATCAGGGGGTAACTCCCGTCTTTCTACAACTTCCCTACCTCTTAATACTGGAGCATTTAATCCAGGCCATATCATGTTGATTTTTCCTAAAGACATAAATATACATACTATAAATTTACATCTTAATGCATTTCAAGATAGAATCAATAAAACAAATTAACTACTCAGAAAAAAAACAACATTAAACATTTAGAACTTTCTGATATTCCCTTAAGTTACAAAACTACATAATAGCTCTTTTTTTTTTGGTTAAATAGTTCATATTTAACCTTAGGTATTAAGACTAACAAACTTCAGAAATATGATGTATTACAAATTAAAACCAACCCTATAAGTACAATTGATTTAGAGTGCACGTCACAACTTTTCAAAGTTTACATTCAAAATTTACTTTCAGAACTTTATTATCAATACATGTCAGTAAACTTGGCATCAACATGAAGTTTATAACTCATATTTTTATATTATCCAAGTTTTAACTTCTTAATTTCGTAACAAAACATCAAAATAATTCTCAATCTTTACTCTTCTGTGTCATGCATTATATCTTGGCGTGATTTCTCATTTTCAGAATTTTCTAATATCAAAAATAGGCTGTTGAAACTTGCACCTAATTAGACACACAAACTGCTCATAATGACAAACAAAACTTAAAAATTGGAACTTCCTACCTTCTTGATTTGTTGAAATGTAAATAAATTTGTGAAACCAACTAAAATATTCCCTCCTGTCTTTTCATGCATTTCAAGCCCATTATTACATCATGTATACTTTTATAATGGACAAGTTTATGACCAACAAAGAAAGCATATTATAATATACTGGAATCTTAAGACTGTTTATTTATATTTAGTGATTGAAGACAGTAGTTCAGAAGAAAAGTTTAAAGTGTGTTATGTAAGGATGTTGCTTCTAGCAGTGATTGAATGCTTTTATCTATTTATAAGTTAGTTAGAAAGCAACATAAATTAGTTTTGGGGTATTTTTTCTAGTGCTTGATTTATTTTTTGTGTTCTAAAAATGCATATTTGAAAGCTACATCAATTATTTTTTGGAAAACAGACAAAGTAAAAAAAACATAGGGTTACTGAAGCATAATATCCGAGTGCAAACTGGTCTTAGTGACTAAATAAGAAAAAGTAATAAATATCTTGTTTATGATGCATATTTTTTTATCCATTGTTATATATATTTTAACAAAAGTAACTAGAATGTACATATTAAAAACTTCTTTGGTTATGTAACAAAAATAAAACAATTTAAGATTTTATGAGTTTAGGAACTCAAGTTTACGAGTTCAAATCATATGTAAATTGGTCTGTTTGTCTACTTTATCTGTGGGATGAGACAGATAAGAGCTCTCGCTGTGACTTATTACTTTTCATGGAGTAATTATCAGCTTCCTTGGAACTTAGTATGGTAACAGAACAACAGCATTTAAAGAAAACAGATGTAAAAAGGTTAACAGTTGAAATTGTGAAGATAATTAAACAGACAATCTGGCAACAAATGATCCATTCTAAGATGAAGAAAAAGTATTACTTATTTTATTTATTATTTTTCAACTTTTTATTTCACCATACAGTGATGAATTTGCTACAATTGGTGTTAGGGTATAGTAAATATGAGATGAAACAAAATTTTACTAAAAAATCTTTGATGTTCATTTCGGTGGCTTCAGTTTATGCGAATGAAATATGAAACTGTACAATGAAAATACATATTTTTACTCTTAACATGAAAATCATCTTTCACTCAGATTAACTCAATAAAGACTACATAAATTCACAGACTTAATATGTTTACTGAGAATTTGCTAAATTTTGTGAATATAAATTTTTTAAATTTAGAGTTATAATATGTATGATTTTATGTTTCCAATGCAAATCAACTTCATTTGTTATTAAATTAGCAAATTAGTATGTTATTACCCAATAAAAGGATTTTTATTTATCCTGTTCTAATATATATACTACATTTTTAATAGTTGATGATAAAAAGAAATTCTGTACTAACCAACTCCAAGTATCTGTCCTTTATTTAAGTCTTTGGCAGTTTTCTTCCCTACACCTTTTCCTCTACCTCTCTTTCTACCAGCATTACTGACACTTGTAACACCCTTCCAAAGCTGTTCAGCAGTTACTAAAAAAAAACAGCAAAAACATCCTTATTCTAGCTTTCTAAATTGATCAAAACTACATTATCAATACTTTTAATAAATGTGATTAATAATGTTTACACTGTTCTATTCTGTGCTGTTTCTGCAATAAGTGATTTTCTAAAAGTTATGTGTAAATGATTTAATGTGCATGAGATCCTTCTAGAAGTTTTAGCTGGTAAAATACCATCATTCCAAATAATGTTTCATAGTTCATTGATACAGTACAAACAATTTGTCTTTTTTTAACATAAGATACAAGCATTAAATTCTGAAAAGACAATTTTTCAAAACAATACAACTTAATCATGTTTCCATAATAAATCTCTGATTCATTCAGTACTGAATATAATACTAAAGCTTTTGTAAAAGACAAATAAACTGTAAATTGTTGTGTATTATATACATGGCAGGAAATTCAACTAAAATCAGCATAAATGTCTACTTAACAACAGACAAATGTACTTACATTTTGTAAAGATAGAACTACTGTGACGTGACTGAAGAAACTGTGTATAATCAGCAAAAAGAAATGGGGAAGTCACTCCGTTTCTAACCCACTGATGTTTCACAGAAGAAGGGGTACCTGAATCAAAGTAGAAACATAAGCTATATTTAAAGCTTCTTTATACAAAGTGTAATAATTAGGCTATAAGGCCTAAATTTTAAAACTGGACATATAACAGTTATACATAGAGTGGATTGTATAGAGAAACCCAAGATAAGAGACTAACTATCAAATCTCAAACCTACCAAAAATTGCTATTCAATTCAAGTAGCAGTGCAGATAGGAGTATGATAAATGGCATTTCCTAAAAAATGATGTGAAGACAGCATTCACATTTAAAAATAGCATGAATTAAACTGATGTCTTATGTCCAAACCATTCAATGATTTATCTTCTTATGTTCCCAGCAAGTAACTTTATGACAGTATTAATTATTATACATGAGATGTTTGAATGAAATAGGATAATAAACTTGTAATAACTAATGAATAAAATAAATAACTTATGAGATTGCTCAGTATAATAACAAATTGTGAAAATCCACTCTGTAATGAAAGATTTATAATATTATTATTGCCCCCCCAGTGGCACAGAGGTCAGAGGTATGTCTGCGAACTTACAATGCTAGAAACCGAGTTTTGATACCCGTGGTGGGCAGAGCACAGATAGCCCATTGTGTTGCTTTGTGCATAACTACAAACTAATATTATTATTATTCATATAATCTACTGATATGCATTCTTTCACGTGGTCTGCAAAATTGCTGATTGCTAAAGTTTAGCCAAATAATGAGAGATGTGGGTACAAATACATATTCAAATGTTAGACTGTTAACAAACTACTTCACACAGCATTTTAAGATTAAACATTTTGTTTCAAACTCAAAGTGATAGGTGAACTCTCTAAAAGTGCTACATTTAAATCAAAAGATTCTTTAACTGGTCATTTTAAGATGTGGTGATCCTAATTATTGAGAAGCAAAATGAATCCAAATAAATAATTTCATACACATACGCACACCAAGTTTTAATAACACAATCAATTACTTCAAAAAATATCATAGCACAAAATTCAGATTTATTTTAATAAGATTCATAAGTTCTAGCTTTTAATTTTTTTAATTGTGAATCACGAGAAATGATGAAAAACTAACATAAAATAATGAGAAAAATCAACAAACCCAAATATTCCATTCAGTTGACTGAAATTTACCGACACAAATAACATTTTCTTTTAATTCGTGAAAAATATTTTTGCCAAGTTCAGTTGTGCTCATAGTTATAGTATCTGCTTTATTCCTCAGCATGACCAGAGTTAGATCTTTTACACTTTAAATTACAGTATTAGTATTAATACCAACGGTATTACTCAATTTACAGAATGCAATATCTTTATCATCATAATTTATACTAGAATTTATAAATTATATTATAGTAACACAAGTTATCCTTATTAGTTATAACTTATACTGTTATACTTATAAGTTATAGCACAAATTACAAATACTGGAAATGAAATAATTAGAATTAGAAATACAATCGACGGAAGACTAGTTTAGAAATTACGAAAATGACTAAACAAAACTGAATGAATAACATAATATAAGAATTTACGCTTAGAAGTTATTGATTATCTGTGCCAAAATGAGAAACATCAAACATTACCATAGCTACTTTTCACTAAATTCTGAAAGAAATTTCTAACTAAAAATATCCTCACGCATGCCGCCATTGCTTCCCTGAATCCCTGATCAGCAGTACTCTCTGGTGTATAAGTTCCAAACTAATAATACCCTCTCCTCAAAAATACACATTTGAGGTAAGGTTTTCATTCTTCTTTATTGTTGATAATACCTTTCCGAGAAAATCAAAGCGTGACACATTTGCTGGATGGCTTCTGTAAAACAATAAATACTATGATATACTGGATCAAAAATATGCGTGATTGGTGTCTTGTTTATATGGCAGATGTAGATAAGTGTTGAAAAACTTTTTATCGGTTCAGACTGTGTGCTTGATAGTAAACATTTGGAGTTCCTGGTAAATCAATGACGTTTAAAATCAGTTGCTCTTTAAAGTTTCAAGTTTATAATTCATCATTTTAATTTTGTTATGTTATATTGTTTGTGTTGCTTATTAGTATTCTGCTTAGTTTTTTTTTCTTTTTCACGTGCACCTCGCCGTACTGGTTTACTTTGAAACCTATAATTATTCATTTACGTAAGAATAGTATTGTTGCGTCAGCGAAGTCACATGACTAGTGTCACGCCACGTTTCTAGAACTACCCTGTACCTTGGCGAATGCTCTAGCATTTACTAGATATAGGGTAGTCTGATATATAAAAGAGGGTGATAACGTGACGGGACAATAATGTGTGTGTAGACAGTGAGTAATTGATCTGCAGTCAGAGAGTATTATAGAGCACGTTCGTTGTTATAGCGTTTGTTTTAGCGCGATTGTTGAAATTAAGTGTATCGTAAAGTTATATTCGGAAAGAATAAACCAGTTTTATTAAGTAAGGACTTATGTCGCTAAAGTTTCGTCGGAACGAAGTTACGGAAAGTTAATTAACAAACGGAAACGTAACAAATTGGTGTCAAGAAGTGGGATAAAAAAAAGAAGAAAAAGAGAAGATGGAAACGAGAAGCGGCAAATCAAACTACAGTTTAGCAGATTTGATGGCAGCAATACAAGAACAGCATAAGAAACAAGAAGAGAGACAACAGCATTTGCAAGAAAACCTGCAACAATGGCAGCTCGAACAACAAAATATACACGAAAAGAAACAAGAAGAACGAGAAATTAAACAAGAAGAGAGATTACAGCAGTTGTTAGAGGAAAAAGAAAAGAAACAATAAGAGAAATTGCAGCAGTTGTTAGAGGAAAAAGAAAAGAAACAAGAAAAACGAGAAATTAAACAAGAAGAGAGATTACAGCAGTTGTTGGAGGAAAAAGAAAAGAAACAAGAAGAGAG